GGGGGGGGGGGGGGACACAGGCACTGCTGGGAAGAATGCCATGAAGAAAATGAAGGGCATCAGGCCACACACCAGAAAGGACTAATTCCATCTAAAAAGGAAAGGGAGGAATCCCACTTATGACACCACAAAACTATCAACTAGCAATAAACATATTAATGAAGACACAAGATGTACACAAAGAAAATTAAATTGTACAGAGGAACATTATCAGGAGGCTAAATAAATGATGGGCGACATTGTGTTTCAAAGGGGGAGACTTACAACAGTGAAGACAGCGTCCTTTCCCAACTTCATACCCAATGAGTGAAATTCCAATCAAAAGTCTAAGAGCATTATTCTGGAACTGGACAAACAAATTCTACAGTTCATCTGTAAGAATAAATTGTGAGAAGTAACAACAATCTTTTAAAAAGAAGAGCATGGGCTTTGCAGAAGCTGTCACCTTGGAACCCCCCTTGACCAGCCATGGTGAACCCCACCATGTTCTTTGACATTGCAAGCTTGATCTGAGTCTCCTTTGAGCTGTTTGCAAAGTCTTAAAGACAGCAGAAAATTCTCGTGGTCTGAGCACTGGGGAGAAAGAATCTGGCTATGAAGGTTCCTGCTTTAACAGAATCACTCCGGGATTTGTGTGCCAGGTGGTGACCTCACAGCCATGATGGCACAGGCACAAGTTCATCTATAGGGAGAAATTGATGATGGGAATTTCATCCTGAAGCTCACTGGTCCTGGCATCTCATCCATGGCAAATGCTGAACCCTGTTTCATCTGCATTGCAAGCCTGAGTGGTCGGACGGCAAGCATGTGGTCTTCAGTCAGGTGAGAGACGACAGGGACATTGTGCAGCCATGAAGCATTGTGAGTCCAGGCTGGCAAGACCAGCAAGAAGATCACTGCTGACTATGGACAACGCTAATAAACTTGACTGTGTTTTATCTTAACCAGCAGACCATCCCCTCTGTAGCTCAGGAGAGCACCCTCCACCCCATCTGCCTGGAATGTTCCATAGTCTTCACGCTCTCGCCACAGTTCGTTGGGTTCCGCATTCTCCTTACCCCTCCAAGTCCAGCTGGATCGCAGGGTTAAGTTTATGATTATGAAACAGAAGCTAAACAACTGTCATAACAAAGAGAATCTGGGTTCCGCATTCTCCTTACCCCTCCAAGTCCAGCTGGATCACAGGGTTAAGTTTATGATTATGAAACAAAAGCTAAACAACTGTCATAACAAAGAGAAGGAGGGGTGCAAGGCTGGCACTCGCCTACTAGGTGTCAAACCTGCTGTAAATCTGCAGAATCGAAACAGCACGGCAGGCACCCTGTGGCAAAGTGCCCGGTGGGATCCCGACAGACTGTGGATCAGAAACATGCAGACATGTGAGGGAACACATTCTACCATCAAGATGACACTTCAAGCCAACGGGGAAAGGACTATATACATAATCAATGGCATTGAGAAAATTCGCCATTTCTCTGGGAAAAGTCTCTGCCTCCTGCCACATCCTAAACTCTGGGTGGACTGGATATCTGAATGTAGTCACTACATTTGTAACAATGTTAGAGGAAAATATAGAGACTATTTTCATAAGTTAAGGGCAGAGGTGTTTCTCCGAAGATTTGAAACCCAGAGACAGTAGAACAATTAGATTAGGCCATGTGAAACTTGAGGACATGCTTATATATTCAGTGAAGACACTAAAACAAAGACACATGGAAATATTTGCAAAACACACACAGAGAAGACTGTGTTCCTAACAGTCTGCAGATGTGTTCCCAATGGTCTACAAATCAGTAAGAAAAGACAAGCAGCACAACAGAGGATGAGCTGAGGATGCGATCAGCTGTTACAGAAGAAACACAATGGCTGACAAACATAGAACATGGTCAATCTCACTAATAATTTTTTAAATGGCAATTTGGTAAGGTTCTAGTTTTGTCTACCAGACTGGCCAGCACTCGGAGTTGGGTCACAGCCATTGCTAGTGAGGGTGGGAGGGTCGGCAGGCCTGGCACTCGACACAGCCTCCTTTGAGGGGTGTTATGTTACCAGGTGGATCTCCTTTCTGACCCAGCTGCCCACTTCTTGAAATTGATCTGGTGGAAATTATCTCGTGAGTCCAGGACTGAGGGTGAAGATGGCCATGCAGTGTTGCTGAGAGCGGATCCCTGTGCCCCAGGGACTGGCGAGTAAGTAAATCTCAGTTCATTCGTTCAAGGGAACAAACACTCAGCAGACACCAAAAACAAAAGGTCCATCTAGGTGTGCTGACCTGGCACATGGCTTATGGGCACATCCAGATGCCTGCCAGACCAAGCATTTCCCCTGGTCTGAACCCCACCCCAGGGTGTGGCCAGTTGGCCTTCTTCCAGGACCTCATGGTTCCCAGCTCCCATCACTGGTGCCAGCTCCCAGCCCCCTCAAACCCTCCACTTCTCTTCACATGCCCCCTGAGTGAGTTGCCCTAGGTCACCAGCAGCAGCACCATCCTGACAGCCCCAAAGCACCAGACACAAGCGTTGGGTAGCACACTTTACTGAGGCTTGGGCAGGGGCAGGATGGGGTACATTGCAGAGTGGCAGAGCAGACTTCAGAGCACAGACACCCCAACCAAGCCCCTCGGTCACTTCCACCAGCAGGAAACTGACACCAGTCTCCAGTGACCTTGCTGTTCTCTTCTCTCTGGTTCACTCACCCTGGACCCCCAGATCCCTCTCCATGGCTCATCAGAGGAACCTGGGAGGGGAGGTCAAGGCCAGCTCTTGGTGGAACCACTGTCCTTTCCAAGGAGGCCAGGACACAGAAGTGCCCAGGGCCTGGGTCAGCCGCACAGGGACGAGGGAGAACCAGTCGACAACCTGGCCCCAGAGGAGCCCTGGAGTGGCCGCTGAGCACCACATGGTGAGCCTGGGCACGGGACAAGCCACATGGCCAGGGGGTGTGGAAGGCTGGGCTGGACTCGGGCAGGGACAGGACCACAGACCCTCGGTTGGAGCAGGAAGGGCCAAGATAAGTGGAACCCTAAGACCTACCTCCAGGGGTCCCCTCCTGCCTCCCCCACCCAAAGTGCCCCAGTCCATCTGTTCCACCCCACACAGAGGGTGGGCTTCCTCAGCCCCTGCTTGGGGAGCTGGCCTTCAGGACCCTGCACTTGGGGGTACCTGCCTGAGGGGGGCGGGCTGGGAATCTCTAGTTAAGAGGTGGAGTCCAGACATGTGAGTGTGTGTGCACGCCTGTGGGAGTCAGAGTGTGAATATGTGAGCATGGGTGTGTATGCAGGTGTCCCACACTGCAGGCAGGGCGGGCTGTGTGTGTGCACAGCACTATATTTGTGTGAGCTAAGGTGAGTCTGCCTGCGTCTGTGTGTGACTGGTGTCCTCAGTGTGCACATGTGGTTATGAGGCCTCACCCTCAGGCCTACCCTGTGATCTGTTCATCTCCACACTAAGTCCCCCCCCACACACCCTTGTTCTCAATCCTCACCAGGCCCGAGGTTCCCCAGGCAGCCCAGCACCACAGACCTGGGTGCCCACCTGTTCTTCCTCAGCACCTCACTCCCAACTCTCTGCTGGGAGCCCCGCCCCCACCCCCAAGTTCAGACTGAGGTCTCCAGACTCAGAAGTGACTTTATTTGTAGAAGACACTAACAGCTGGGCTGCTCAGCTGGGCCTGGCTCCTCCTGTCTTCCCCTCAGAGACCTGGTGGTCCCAGCCCCCTGCCCTCACCCCCAGACCTCCTGCCCACCCAGCGGATGCCTGTGGCCTGGAGGTGTCCTGCTGGCTGGGACTCAGAGCTGGTAGAGAAACGGAGTAGGGCAGGGGCCACAGGTGGTGGAGCCAGGCCAACGCTGCCCCAGCCCCAGCCAAGCCAGGCTGAGGAGGGGGCAGCCATAGGTCCCAGGGAACAAGTTCAGAAGCCCTTAAGGAAGGAGATCTCAGAGCCCAGCCCGGAGGAGGGTAGGCCCCAAACTGAGCAGGAGCCCGCCAGCCAGGGCCCAGGGGCTGCCCCCAGCCCCAGACACCCCATTGCACAAATCTTTCTCGCAGCAGTCCACGTCTACTTTTAAGATCCCAGAGTTAATGAAGCCCATCAGATAATCTGAGAAAAAGTGCCGCTTAACGAAGTCGCAGGATGAGGCACACATCCTGTTCACGGAATGGTCCTTCCTGCCTGGGGAAGAGGAGGGGGAGCCTGAAACTGGAGCCCTACCTGGATCCTTCCTGCCCCTGCCCAGGGCCCAGCCCAGGACCTGGCCCCGGACCCCAGAGCATTGGAGGTGAGGCCCTCAACCCACCCACACTGTCCCCAAAGACATGGAAAGGGCCGTGGAGGGGCCAGGGCAGGACAGGCACCTTTTGCTCTCACACAGCAGGCCAGAGGGGTTCAGACCACCCCCAAGCTCTCCCCCCTGGGTCCAGGTCCTGGCTTACTGCTGCTGGGGTCAGCGATGCGGACGCTGGCGCACACCGTGTCCGACGGCTGGCACTGCTTCGGGGTGCAGTGGCTGGAGTTGGTGGTCAGCGTGCAGTCCTGGCACCACAGGCCATGAGCTGGGTGGGCCCGAGGAAGGGGATGACCAGGGAGTGGAAGGCCAGCAGCCAGCCCCCGCACCTCCCCACCTGCCTGCTGCAGGCCATCCTGCAGAGCCATGGGCTGTGGGAGGCCAGGCGCACGCTGGCCAGCAGTGACCAGGCCAGACTGGCACCTGGAGGACAGGTCCTGGACCTGTGCCCCTTCCCGCTAGTTTACAGGGAGGCTCCTCCCCCTGGGGATGCCAAAGCCCCCGGGCCCCCTCCCGCACCGCGCCTCCTCACGCACCCTCCCTCCCAGAGTTCAGCTGGTTCTAAGCTTTCGAGGACCAAACAGGACTTGATGGGGTCCAGGCGGGTCCCCTGCACTGAGGAGCTCCCAGGCAGTGCCAGCTGGTGCATTGTGCCCCCAGGAGCGGGAGGGGGGCTGGGCCACAGGGGTGAGGGCCCGCTGGG